TTGACCTGAAGAAATACTGTGTTTCAGAGCAGACTCTTCTGAGGCTGCTGCCAGTGGTTAAAGCCTCAAACAAAGCTTTGTATGTGCATTCATAACAATCCACATCAAAAGCATTTTGTTTTTATTTGACAAGGAATAATGTCATTAAGCACATACTTTCTGTGTTTCCTGATCATGTTAAGACTGAGTAGCTGTGACCTGACAGAAAGAAGCTGTGAGTCCCTGTCTTCAGTTATCAGCTCCCAGTCATCTAACTTGAGAGAGCTGGACCTAAGTAATAACAACCTGCAAGACTTGGGGGTGAAGCTGCTTTCTGCTGGACTAAATACTCCAAATTGCAAACTAGCTGTACTCAGGTAAGTGTTCAACTTTTCAAAATTATAATCTGGATTTGTATATTAATCATTGAAGGGACCTATTGAAAATATTTTTCAGGTTCAGTGGTTGCTCATTGTCTCATGAAAGCTGTGAGGACCTGTCTACGGTTTTCAGCTCTCAGCCATCTAATTTGAGAGAGCTGGAACTGAGTAACAACAACCTGCAGGATTCAGGGATGAAGACACTCTCAGCAGGATTAAGGAGTCCAAACTGTACATTGGAAACTCTCAGGTCAGGAATCAGCTATTAGTTTGATTTTATCCAGCGTCTTCATGGTTGGCATGTTTTACCTCTAAATTAACTGACTGACTATACCTTTCAGGTTGAGAAGCTGCCAACTGTCTGCAAGAAGCTGTGAAGCTCTGTCCTCAGTTCTTAGCTCCCAGTCCTCTAACCTGAGAGAGCTGGACCTGGGTGACAACAACCTGCGGGATTCAGGAGTTAAGCTGCTGTCTGCTGGACTGGAGAGTCTAAACTGTAAACTGGAAACATTAAGGTTAGGGTTCAACTGGTTTAAAGAGCAATCAATGCAAATTTCATGAGGAAAAATGAATTTGTTAAGTATTACTTAACCCCTGTGTCATACAATATGTAAATCAATATATATTTATTTAGAGCATTATTACATATTTCCATTGGTATGGGCAATGGTTCCCGTAAATAACTGTAAATATCTGTGTTTGTGCATGTGTGTGTTCATTTAGACTGTCAAGCTGTCTAATCTCAGAGGAAGGATGTTTATCCCTTGCCTTAGCTCTGCGCTCCAACCCCTCCCATCTGAGAAAGTTGGACCTGAGCAACAATCAACCTTCAGAGTTAGGAGTGAAGCAGCTGTCTGCTGTATTGGAGGATCCACGCTGCCTCAAGTATGGAATTAAGAGAGAGAGACAAAAGCTGCTTTCAAACAGTTTATCTGTTTGTCTGACTTACCAGTGTTCTCTACTTTATATTGAATGGTAGATATAGAACAACTATAGTTGTATGAGGTTGTTTGTGTATTTGTTTCTGCTTCCAGGGTGGACTATGGTGGACTGCAGAGACTTAAACCTGGTATCAAAAAGCGTAAGCATGTCAAAGACTACTACATTGTGAAATAAGCATGTATTTTCTTTCTTCTTCCTTTTGGTCATGCAAATGGTCTGTAATTACAGCTCTTTCAATTATAGGCTAAACCCGGCCATGGTCCTCTACAATTACATATAGGCCCATAGGTAATGCCTCCAACTCTCTGCTTTCATATCCGGGGGCTTTTAAGCTCCACACATACGCGGGTTGTTATCCAACAATGAAACTCTTACAGGATGAGAAGGACCCCAATGCTAAGCTAATTCCTTAGCATGAACAAGGTGTTTCCAATGATAGACTGTGAACACAGCTAATTTATAGAAGCAGATGGGACTTGTAGCTCCGCCATGTCAGCGGTTGTCAGCAACAGTTACAAGCATTACAGCCACCTGGATTGGGGTGTGAGTGTTGTAAAAAAACTGCATGCACTGAACCATGCACATATACATATATATATTTATTGCATTGCACAAAAAGTGCTCTCTGGAGGAGAGGGAAGAACTCCGATGCTTAGAGTTTGCTGGAGGGCGTCGCATGAATTTGGGGCATCAAAAGAAAATGTAGATTTACTGAGTTCAGTAAAAGCTTGTGAGACTTTAAGAACAAGCCACTCAGAAGAACGAGTCATGTAGGTGCCCAAATTCCACTTCAACAGTTCTGTGATATAAGGTGGAAGTTAACCAATAAGAGCCTTGAACATATATAAAAAACAATGTCTCTATTCAAGAGAAGGCCAACCAATCTTCTCATACAGCTCATAGTGATGTGTGCCAAATCTATCACCAGTTAAAAACCTGAGGGCGGAGTGATAGACGGCGTCAAGAGGCTTTACTGTTGAAGCTGACATCACCGTAATCCATCACTGATAAGAATAGAGCTTCAATAACTATTTTTCTGCACAATAATGGAAAATTTGATTTATTTCTGTACATAAAGCTAACTTTCAGTCACAACTTGGATACAAGAGTTTCAACATGAAACTTAAAAGTAAATTACTCATTGAGCCACATGCCAAGATATTTATACTCATGTATTTTCTCAATTTCTGAGCCACTTAGATAAGATATGTGTCCCCTCTCATAATCAATATTTTTGGCTGTGGAGAATAGCATACTTTTGGTTTTAATCTCATTAAGTAGCAGTTTTTGGCTAATGAGATATTCTTGGACAGAATTAAAAGCAAGTCACAAGTTTTTGATGGCTAACTGTATAGAATCTGCTGTACAATACAAAATAGTGTTGTCTGCACAGAGATGGGCATGACAACCATTCAAACAAGAAATAATTTCATTAATATAAACAGTGAAGAGCATGGGACCCAGGACTGAACCTTGTGGCACACCTCTGTTAATGAACAAAAATTCAGATTTAGCGTGACCTAATTTAACACACTGACGCCTATCAAACAAGTAATCCTAAAACCACGCACACACTTTCATCCAACCCAATAGTAGATCATTTCTTTAAAAGAATGTGGTGATCAACCATAATCAAAAGCTTTTGAAAGATCTATAAAAAGAGCAGCACAATGATGCTTCTTGACTAGTACTAGTTTTATATCATTTGACACCGATGTGATGGCTGAAACTGTGCTGATTGGCTCTGAAACTAGATTGCTGCGGGCTCAGTACTGAGTGGTGGAAAAGAAAGAGCTTGAGTTGGTTATTTACTCAGGCTTCCATGACTTTTGCCAGACAGGGTAATTTGGAAATGGGACGATAATTGTTTAAATCATCCCTACCACCACCTTCCCTAGCAAGGGAAGATTGTGGCACCATTTAAAGGGGAAATAAACAGGCTTTCCAACGGAATAAGAATTATTGCCAAGAAGCATCTTCACAATAATATATAATTATATATGTGTGTGTGTGTATATAATATTTGTATAGACATGTAGTGGGATTGTTCTGATGGTATGAATAGACAGTATATATGTAGTGTGATTGTTCTGATTCATTTATCTTTTTCTCCATCAGATGTCTGTGAACTGGAAGTAGACACAAACACACTGAGCAGATACCTCACACTGTCTGCTGACAAAAGGACGGTGACTTATGTGGAGAAGTATCAGCCTTATCCTGATCATCCGGACAGTTTCAAATGTCCTCAGGTGTTTTGTACAAATGCTTTAACAGGTCGCTGTTACTGGGAGGTTGAGTATACAGGAGATGTTAATGTATCAGTGGCGTACAGAAGAAAGAACAACAGAGGAGTAATTGAATTAGAGTTTGGGGATTGTGATCAGTCCTGGAGTCTGAGAAGATCTATATATGGTGGTTATAAAGTCTGTCACAATGGTGTTGGAACATACATCTCACCCTCCTGTTCCTCAGAAAGAGTAGCAGTGTACTTGGACCATCCAGGTGGCACTTTGTCCTTTTACATAGTCGATGATGGCACGCTGGTGCACCTCCGCACGTTCAAAACCACATTCACTGAACCTCTTTATGCTGGGTTTGCTTTCCAGAACAGATATTATAGTTCATCAGTGTCTCTGTGCTCTCTGTAGGTGTAAGAGTCTCAGACATTCTGCTGACTGACAGTAAACTCTCCTTCACACACACTCTGCAATGCAATGACCATCCGTCAAAGAATCAGACACAGATCCAATTTGTATATCATCATTATATTGACAATTTCTTCTATTTTTGAAATCGAACACTTACTGAATAAGGTTCTTTTTTATCTTAGTGATAAAAATCTATTTCTTGGTTGACAAATTAAAATGGTCGCCTGCTGTATTGGACATGGGTGATATCGATATAATGTCACATTAATGCAGACTAAATGAGTAAGAAAAACGATGTCCTATCATAGAATAAATTGTTATTTTATTTGTTGTTTATTTAACTCAAATGAGAATATAGATCAATCATCACAAAAATCAACAACAAATTTTTCGACTGTCAGTTGACTTAAGGCAAAATTTGACAAATCAGTCTCGACTATGTAAATCCTTAGTCGGGGACAGGCCAAAAAAAATCATTTTTATGAATAGATTCTGTTGACTGCAATAAATTTAAATAGCATCCACATTCTGTCACCTCGATGGGCTAATATTGACCTCCCATTCCCTGTTTCAGACTAAGCTAGAGCTCAGAGGAAGTGACTGTCCCTGTTCTTACGTATCTATACAAGAGGTGAGATTCTCTGTCCAAGCCCGGGCCGACATGACGGCCCGTAGCTGGGTCAGGGCAGTTAATGGACTTGAGCTTCTTTTCTAGTCTTCTGACAACTCACAACGCTTTTACACTACAGATCACACTTACACATTCACACACTGATGGTAGAGACTGCTATTTAAAGTGGCAATCAGAAGTAACTTATCCCATTCATACACTGAGGGAGCAACTTGGGGTTAAGTGTCTTGCCCAAGGACACATTGGACATGTGGCTGCAGGAGCTGGGGATCAGACCCCCGACCTTCCATTTGAGAGACTTCCCACTCTACCACTGAGCCAAAGGCGCCCATGGGACAGTTGTAAAATGAGAGTAATTCTCATGCGTCTGAATCCGTGTGTCTTTATTTCCCTCTGACAATATTTCTGTTACTTTGTAAAAAAAAATAAAAAAACCTGTTTAGGGCCTTCAAAATAAATGTATCGAGTTAATCAAAGCCTCTTACTTTAGTTTTTATTTCTGTGACACAGAACTTAATTTTCGTCATTTTACTTTAAATTCACAAAGGACATTTCCTGAACATCGTCTCGATGTTTTATTGTGAAAAACATTCAGGAAGCAGTATGTGTACACTGTGGCAACATTAACTTAAGTAAAGCATATGATGTTTTTTATTTTTTTTTGCCATCTCTGGTTTAAAGGGATTTGTTAAAGCTAGAAAAAATGTAGTAATTCCATCCTTGTCCTTAAGTATTTTAACATTTATGTGAACTATGTGATATTTGACATACAAATACAGGCATAACAATAAAAGGTGCATTTTATAATAAAACATTCACAATCTGAACTCATTTCAGTCGTTAAATCAAACAGAAAACACATTCTGCCTTTATAGAGCTTCAAAGCAAAAAGCCTGGTTTGTTTTTAAAGTCACACCGCCATTTGTTGCCATGACATCAGACCTGCCAGGAGCAGGGTTTAAGATGAGCGTCCATCTGTCTGTCCCAACATTTTAATCCATAATCACATCTACCAGTCCAAAGATCAACAACTGTCAGATATCTTAACACATGACTGTCAGATCATCAATAAATGTTCACTTCAACTTCCTGCTCCAGGTGGGCCTTGTTTATCAAAGTGACCTCATAATGTTTCCTGCAGCGCCACCCTCAGGACTTTTTTAACCTCCATCAGTGAGGCTCTAGCTATGTCCCAATTCAGGGGCTCCATCCCTCAGGGCGTGCATTTCAACACTGATAACATCACAGCTGAGTGACTGTAACTGTCCCATTTTGAAGCCTCCTTCAAATGCGTCCTTCTCACCAACCCACTCAAGGTCCTTCCAGTTCATCCTCAGTGGCCCAATATATCCCAAGGTGCACGCCAATTCAAACTGCTTACTCCCAAATGGCCAAGTAATACACTTTTAGTTGTGAGGAATTGATTTTTAACTCAATCAAATAGCTACCTATACTACAAAATAAAAGGGGGGCTTTGAAACTTCAAATCATCTAAGTTATGTTAACAAGTTCTGATGCAGCAAGTCAAGGCTGCTAGGTGACAAGGGCAGTGCTTTAAGGGAAGTAAGGGAGGGAACAGCTGGTGATGCAAACAGGGATTCCTCTGAAGACCAGACCGTTTTATTTCTAATGGGCCTGAGAGGTCGACGCTGAACATGAAGGCTTTTTCCTTCATAGGCTGGGCCCTTGGAAGGATGCTACCCTTGAATTAGGACACAGCCTCTAAGAAGCAATGAGGACTTTGTTGGTTCACATTGAAGCTGTAATAATCTCTGTAGCCTGTAGAGGGTGCTAACTGCAGTTTCCACTGTGAACGCTGAAATGGTTCCACACAAGAGTTTGTGTCATTCCACATAGCAGCAGTAAGAGGCTTCAAGGAACAGCTGGTCCTGGTTGTCGGGCACTTCTGTCTTCACAGTGCTGCTCTGACTTCAGGTCCTCGGACCACATCACTTTAGCGGACTGGTTAAACCAGTCATATGAATAAATTGACTTGTTCAATCGTCCAGATGTGAAGTGAAAAACACTCTCTTTAAAATAAAAAAAAACACAAAAAATCAGTCAAAGTTCTGTTAGGAACAAGTGATCTCTCTTCGGGCGTGAACATTCGTTTAAAACATTCTGTCATCAGCATAAAAACACTCCTGAAAGAAGAAGTGACATCATACTTCAGGGTGCAGCCTCCTGTGGGTTTGTCATGAGTCTTAAACAGGGTTGTTCTGGTTCTCCAGTATGAACTCTTTACATGTCTTCATACAGCAGCATGCCGTTGAAGATGGTGAGGGGCTCCACAGAGTGAGCCAGTTTGCCCATCACCAGGTCAATGCAGACCGTGTCCCGGGTCTGCAGAGGCAGGATGATGTTGAAGACAGCCAGAGATCCAGGAGTGGTTTTAGCTTCAGCGACAGGGTTGTTCTCCAGACCTTCAGGTTGGTAGCCTCCGGAGTCCACCCGGGCCATGCCGTAGTTAGACTTGGACAAAACAGCCTCAATCTTCTCGTTCCTGTGACCCGTTAGGATGGCACTGAAGAAGTAATGTCCGTCTACTGGAGCAGTGAAAATACCTGGAGGTGACAGAATGAGTCGGGATTAGCACCAGGTAACACTTCAGCAAGATTGGATGAGGACAGTAGGTGGTCCTATGCTAATAGAAGAAGCATAGAGGGGAGACTCAACCTCCCCTCACGTTTACCTGTTCTCGGGTCGTAGAAGTCTCCTTCATTAACAAAGATCTTGTCAAAGACGATGGTTCCTGATCTCTCCATGGGGACAGTGAGAGCAGCAGAGAACGACAGTCTGGGTATGTGAGCGTCGGCACCAGGTAGCCCTGATAAGAAGACACACACACACACACACACACACACAGACACACATAAACACACATTCAAGTATCCAAAGTGTAATGTAGAGATAGTGTGGAGAAACTTTCTCTGGTCGTATCACAGTAGGATGTTTATATTATCCGTTCTTCTCCAATACTGAAAGTGATGTTGGTTCCTTAGTAAGCATCATTTCTTTGCAGTTACAATTACTTTGCAACTGCAATGTACCTGGCATATGACCTGAAGAGTGCATTTATGTTTGCTTAGAATCTTTAAAGGAAGAATGTGCGACTTTTTGATCCAGTAGATGTCGCCCTTGAGCACCAGCATTAAACCAAAACAAACTGCTGTTTGGCCACGCCTCCTCCATACTGAAGCCTAGCTGCTCTCCTCCAGAGTCACACCTCCAACCCCCCTCCACTTGAGTTCACACAAAGGAGTTATTAATATGAACGCACCATAATTAAGCACCGTTAAGTGCAAGCGGTGGATAATATTGTCCTTTGCTTGAGCTGCAGTTTCCTCTGGCCTGCATTGTTGTGTTAGCATACTAATGTTAGAACACTAAAACACAGGTTTAAAAAGTTGCAAAAGCAACATTAGAACAAAGCAGAGAAACCCAAACACTTAAGAACCCAAACAACAATAAAAACACAAATGACAATGCAAGAACCAAACAGTGTGAGAACCCAAACAACCTAAATAAACTAAACATCACAGGAAAGTCATAAAAACCCATTATTAGAACCCAGGCAATAGAAGAACCCAACTGAATGAACAATATTTAAACAAACACAACTGATGTGTCTCTGCTTATTCAGGCATATTTTCTATGTGAAACTTTTTTTTTTTTTTTTTTTAAACATAGGTTACATACCTGTTTCACCTTTGGGACCTGTGAGGAAAAAGAGCAGAAGATAAGAGACGGGGGAAGAATAAATATCATAAAGAGAAATCAATTTTATTTTATTTTATTAAGATAATCATCTTGCTGTCTTGATCAATTTAATCTCTGTAAACAAACTTTATATTAGGGCCACTGTGTTCAAAGTTCATATCTCTATGAACCCTATGCCCTACTGCCTCTATCAATCTTTAAATTATCAGGTAGACATACCAGGTAGACCTCGTAGTCCACTTTCACCTGATCGTCCAAGAGGTCCAGGAGGTCCAATAGCTCCTCGTGGACCTGGCAGTCCGTTGAAGCCCCTCTCTCCTTGTGGTCCTGGAGGTCCAGGCAGGCCTGTGCAAGAATATGAATGAAATGAACAAACAACAAAAAATAAACATCATCCTAGTACGTAATCTGCAAAACATGCGGAATGAAAATAGATCTATGAAGAGTTGTGGAGGTGTGTAAATGGCTCAGTCAACAAATGTGAAGGAAAGTGAAGCAGATCAAGTTAAAAAGGTTATAAAATGCTTTTACATATCCACAAAAATGTGTTTAAACGCTTTATTTTCTGTTTATTAGCATCACAAAGGTTATGTGTGGATATCTGTTAGAGTGTTAGCAGCAGTTTAAGTCTTTTTTCATACAAAGCAACATGTCAGAATCGTTTGTTTGTAAAGGAACATCAACTAAAGATACCACTTAAGTACAATGAACAAATAGAGAAATGACTCGTACAAAAAGGGACTGAAGATGACAACAAGACACAGAAGATGTCAACAACACATGTAAGAATACAACAAGACACTGGAAACCAGAACAACACATTTAAAGACAGAGTACTGTTGTTCGTCGTGTTGGTGGTTTGCTGTGTTTGTGTTGGTTGTGGTAAAAATTGAGTTGGTGGTGTGAGTTTTCTTGACGTTGGTGGTTTTGTTTGTGGTATCAGTTGTGTTAGTTCTAGTGTTAGTTGCAAGAAGTGCTTGTGTTTGTTGTGTTGATGTTGGTTGTGTTGGTTTGTTGTATTTGTGTTGGTTGTGTTGGTGGTGGTGTGAGTCTTGATGTTGGATGTGTTGGTTGTGGTACAAGTTGTGTTGGTTGTAGAGTTAGTTGCGTTAGTGGTGGTGCAAGTAGTGTCAGTATGTGTTATTGGTAGTAGCTGTGTACGTAGTGTGGTGTTTGTTGAGTTGATATTGTTTGTGTTGGTTGGTTGGGTCTGGGTTGGTTATGGTTTAAGTTGTGTTTGCTGTGCTGTATGTTTTGTTAGTGGAGGTGTTATAATGTGGTGTGGTGATAGTTACAGTGTTAGTTTCATAGGAGGTGGTGTAAGTAGTGGAAGAGTTTCCTGTGTTGATGCTGGTTGTGTCGGTTTAAACTTAAACTCTGTTCATTGTGTTGGTGGTGTTGGCGTTGTCTTGATTTTGGATGTGTTGGTTGTAGAATTAGTTGTGTTAGTGGTGGTTAAGTATTGTCTGTGTTTGCTGTAATGTTGTTGGTTTTAGTGTAATTGTGTAAGTTTTAGCATTAGTTTTGTGGTGGTTTACTTGTGTGTGGTAATTGTTGTGTTGAAGTTGGTTGTGTCCGTTTGCATGTTGGTCTGGGTTGGTTTTTGTTTAAGTTGTGTTTGCTATGTCTATGTTGTGTTGGTGGGTTTGTTAGGTGTTTTGGCTGTAGTGTTAGTTTTGTTAGTGGTGGTGTAAATATTGTCTGTGTTTGTTGTAATGATGTTGGTTTTGTTGGTGTGCTTATATTGTTAGTGAAGTTGGTGGAAGTGGCGGTGTTACTTTTATGTGCATGGTTGTTTTTGTGTTTGTGGGATGGTGTAAGTGGTTTTTGTGTTTTTGGGATGGTGTAAGTGGTATTAATGTTGGTGTAAGTTGTGTTAGTGGTATGGGTTTTTTTTTTGTGTGTGTGCTGTTACTGTCAGTCTTGATGTTAGAAGTGTTGTTATTTATGGTCTGTTCTTTGTTAGTAATGTTGCTATCAGACTTTTTTAAACTTACCATGTCAGTCATTGTGTTTATAGTTATTATTAGTTCATGTGGTGACTGTGTAAGTGCTGTTGGTTGAGTTGTAGGTGGAGAAGTGTAAGTATTATCAGTATGTGTTGGGGTTGTTGTGCTGTTAGTGGCATTGGTTTTATTAGTGTTAGCCTAGTTGATGGGGGCATTGGTGAAGGTGTTAGTGGTCATAGTGTTTGTGTTAGCCGTGTTGATGGAAGTTAAGTTGGTGGTGGTGTCATGGTGACATTGGTAATAAAGTTGGAGTTACTGGCTCGGGTGCTGTTTGTGGTGATGGTGTTAGCAATGCTGTAAGAGCAGTCAGGGCCATTTGATGTTTAAGTTGTGTTATTTGTCCTGCCAGCGGATGGACACAGAAACCTCGAGCTCTGTCTGAACTCAATAAATCAGCTTACACCAGCACAAACTACGTATTCACAGATTAGTCAACACTCAACATGTGTACGAGACAGACTTGAAGTTTGGTGATTTTTCTACTATAATGGTTGAAACGTCAAACCAACACTTCTGACTGCAGTTAGTGGGTTAACAAAAAGAGCTTATTCAAACCTCTGTTGAGCAGCGTGGTGCCTACAAAACAAACAATACATCATAAACATACAGTCTGACCTTAAAATCAGTTTTAGTATAAGTAGCATCAGCATATATTTTAATAATCATTGTTCTCGTTGCATTCAGTGCTGTCAGTCCCTCAACTCAAGCTTTATTCTTTTATTCAAAATTCCTATTTTACTTTGACGGACGTTAGAAAGAGTCGAGTCCTTGTCATCACAGTGTCACTGTTCTCGTTTGAATTGATATAAGATCAATAGAGACGTATTGCTACTTTCACATCTTGCTCGCCAAGCAGTTTCACCCGATGTGGTTTAAGACATGTCACCTGTTCATTGGTTTTAACATTTGATGAGCTGACCAACCTGTTCTCAAAAGCCAAGTATTTCAAAGTGTTTCGAACACTGTCAAACCACATATTAAATCAAAATGTTCACTCCAGTTTGTACCAAAGCTACTGAGAATAACATGTAATCCATCCAAAAAATAAGAAACCAAACTGTTGCTGTTGCTGTAAAACATGGTTCTGTTTAGACCGCTTCGTTGAACCATCACTGTGAGAGTGAGTTATATACAGGTATGGTTAAAGTATAAAAGAGAGCAGAGAGTCGAGCTCACCAGTCAAGTCGTGCTCAGAGAAGCTCTGCAGGTCTTTGATGACTTGGTTCACACTTGAGTTCAAAGTCTTCATCCTGGTGTAGACGTCGTCCTGGTTCTTTTGAACAATGTCCATGATTCCTCCGTGATGGATGACCGTGTCATTCAGACCAGAAACACACGTCCACAAACTGGAAACATGTCGGTTCAGTCCTGCAAGTCGAACATATAACAAGACACACTGAAACACGGACACGGTGTACATCATCTGTGCTCATGATTTCAACGAGAATCAGCTGGTACATGGTCAGTCTTCACTTAAGAGGAGGAGTAAACTACAAGTCCCAGAGAGCATTTCAGTCAGGATATCCACTTTTCCTGTTCAGGGTTAGGGGGGCTGGAGCCGATCCTACTTGTCATTGAGCAAGAGGCGGTGTACATTCTGGACTGGTCACCAGTCAATCACAGGACATATAGAGACAGACAACCAGCCACACTCACATTCACACCTACGGGTACTTTCAGAGTCACCAGTTAACCTAACGAGCATGTCTTTGGACTGTGGGAGGAAGCGGGAGTACCCAACGAGAACCCATGCATGCACTGGGTGAACATGCAAACTTAACACAGAGAGGCTCCTGTACCACAGGGATTCGAACCAGGAACCTCCTCACTGTGAGGCAACAGCGCTAAACTTTTTAATTTAATAATTTTGCTGTTTGCTGTCATCTCTTACCCACCCAGCTTCTGTTGTGCTTTCTAACAGCAGCACTCTCAGCTTCAATCTTCTAGAGTTAAAACGCCTTATTGAATTTCTGAATACCTTTCAACTCAGTTATTGTTCCACCAGTGTTCCGGCTGACACAATAAGACTGGTTTGTGTATATAAATTACATTTAAAAAGGTATACTTAGAGGAGTTTTATCATGATGAATAAATACAGAAGGATCCATGAGAATGAACCTTACCTTCCTTGATCTTGAGGATGGAGTCAGAGACACTATCCAGCCTCCCACACACTCCCTCCAGCTTGGACAGCCTCTTCTCCAGCCCGTCTCCGGACCTCTTACAGTCTCCCATCTCCACCAGGAGTGTGCTCTCAAACCGCCGCACGTCCCGGTCCATCCCGTCCAGACGCTCGCGGCTGTCCTCGATGTGATCCGTCACCTCTTCCTGGATTTTGTCCAGCTCAGAGATGATCTTATCCTTGGTGTTTCCTGTTAGGATTCAGAGGATGGGTGAATGAATGAATGAATTGTAGCTCAGAAACGTGCAGTACTTAATGCATTGAGTCGATGTTTCCGAGGCTGGGCGCACCGAGGTCGGTGATGACGCTGCCGTGTTTCTGCACCGTGTGTTCCAGCCCCTTCAGAGTGTCGTTGATGGAGCTGAAGGTGAGGATGACTTCAGACAGTTCGCCCTGCAGAGTCTTCAGCTGGTTGTTGTTGATGGAGCCTCCGATCACGCTGTGGCCGTCTAAAGGCTTCTCAGCATCCAAACCAGGTCCCCGTCCACCAGTCCCACCAGTGCTGCCAGTACCACCACCTGGAGTGAGTTACAGATACAACTTCAATAATCCAGAAACCCCCTCCTCATTACATCCTGCATTCCTCTCTAGACCACCACCACCAGGGTCTAGACTCCATATCCTATCCAGCTATCAGCTGAATAGGATATGGAGTCCCCCTCTGAGTGTATGATGTCATCATGACTAATCCCCCAAACTGTTAAATAAATAATAGTTCACTCTTAATTAAGTATCTCCTGTTTGAAATGTCACAGTATAGAGGATCTGCTGCTGTGTTTATAGTACTTTGTGTTTTTGCTGTTTTGAAAACAGAAAGATTGGTTTCCAGCAGTATCTAAGGGGTCTGGGTTTCTCTGACCTGTGGGCGTGTCCGGGCCGCTTTTACATTGGCCGGTGCACCTCCGGACATCGTCTCTCAGCAGGCGGACTTCGTCCTCCAGGTGTGAGCAGACCTGAGAGCAGCCTTCTCTCCCCGAATCCAGTCGGAAGTGGATCCTGTTGATGTGGCTCTGCATGCGCCCCAGTGCATCCTGGGACTGATTCTTCAGCTTCCGCAGCTCGTCCTCCACCTTCTGGCACAGCTCAGAGTCGTGGCCCAGCATCTCCACCTCCGTCACGATGCGGTTGAAGTGTTCGCCGTGATCGCCCGTCAGAGCTTTGATCTTACGGACGTCATGGCTCAGGTCCACCACCTCAGAGATGATGATGACGTGTTAATATTCATAAAAAAAACAACGTCTTTTCATAAATATTTATTTCTCATTTTCACTCTGACTTTGTTTTAGAGTCACTTTTAGATCAGTTTAAAATCACACCACAGTAGAAACACCATCTGATGGACACTAAAATATGAATTTATCTGGAGTGTGGTGCCTTCCAAACAAGCAGACATCATTAAGTGATTTTAAGATAATCCGTCTCACCTTGTCGAGCAGAGAGTCTCCAGACACCGACAGGTCTTTGAGCCGGGTGCTGAAGTGACGGATCTGATCCTCGTTGGCGATCACTCTCCACTCGAATGACTTATTTGTTGTATTTTCTCGTTCTCCTCCCATCCCAGACAATCCACCACTTGATCCTCCTCCTGTAGTTCCTCCTCTACCTCCTTGACTTCCTCCTCCTCCTCCCCCGCCTGCTCCCCCATCTCCTCTTCCTCCTCCAGTAGTCCCTCCTTGTCCTCCCTCTCCTCCTGCTCCCCTGTCACCACCACCTCCTCCTCCTCCTGTTTGTCCTCCCTCTCCTCCTGCTCCCCAACCTCCTCCATCACCTCGGCCACCGCTACCTCTACCTCCGCCTCCTTCTGAGCCTCCACAGCGGCACTCCTCCAGCCTGCGGCTCAAGACGATGGTGTTGTTTTCCAGCTTGGACAGCGTCTTGTCGTGGTCGCTCACCCTGTCCTTCACCATCCCCACGTCCAGCTCCACGTCTGCGATCCTGTAGGCCTGGTCATCGAAGCGTTCCAGGAACACCGTCCTCAGGTCTCCCAGCTCTCTGTGGAAGTAATCCTTCAGGTCGTTCTCCAGGGAGGAGCAGCTCCGCTCTGTCTCCTGCACTGTGTTGTTGATCCGCCGCTCCAGTTCCTTCAGCCGATTGTCTAGTCCATCCTTTGTCACCAAAGGATCTCGACCACCTCCTCCAACGCCACCACCACCCCCAAAACCTCCACCAAAAGGATCTTGACCACCTCCTCCAACGCCACCACCACCCCCAAAACCTCCACCAAAAGGATCTTGACCACCTCCTCCAACTCCACCGCCACCCCCTAAACCTCCACCAAAAGAATCTTGACCACCTCCTCCAACTCCACCGCCACCCACAAAACCTCCTCCCCCGATGCCTCTGTCCTCATTGTCCCTGCTGCCACCAGCCCCGCCGAGCTCCTTGTCCAGGCGGTTGTTCAGGAGATCAAAGTTCTCTGAGGCCGAGCTGATTTTGCGCTCAGCGTCAGTGACGCGTCTTTGAAGGTCGTCCACAGTGTCACAACAGCCCTGTGAGCGCAGCACCTCCCGTCGCAGCCCGTCCTGGCCCTGCCGGTACCGTACGTCCATGGCATTTAGCTGCTTCTGCAGAGCTCGGATGCTCTCTCTGTCCACCTGCTGCTGTCTGCGCAGATCCTCCACACCGGCCTGTAGAACACAGAAACAAAGTGTGTTTTACTTCACCTGCAACGTAGTTCACAGTGTCAATCTTTAGAGTCATTTCAATTCTACCTTAAACACAATTCACTACAGAGACTCAGATCGAAGCGAGTGTATTTGTCTAATTTCCTGTCAAAAGTATCTCAAGACACTCATGAAGCCATGTCCACCTGACCTGATCTTTTTTCAAGGAATAAAAACTACAGTATGACAGCACCAAGCACCAAGCCCTGGCAGCACATCACCATGACCCTCATCCACCTCCACTGGCTCTCAATTAGATCCTGAATCAGATACAAAATACTCCTCCTCACTTTTAAATCCCTCCATGCCCATCAGTACCTCTCCAACATCCTACACCCCTCACACCTGGTCCCCATAACAACGGTCCTCAGACACTGGCCTGCAGCCCCACACACCAGACCAATGGAGGCAGGGTCTACTGGGTCAAAGCCCCCCCCCCCCATCTTCTGAAACACCAGTTTGTTTTATATCTTGAAATTCCCCAAGTGGCTGTCACACTGTTACACCCAGGACCTGTCATTGACTCCCTGAATCATTTCATACACACTACACTAAGCTAAAGAACTGTTATCATGTCATACTTCTAGCCAGTGTTTATTTTTATATTGATTGGGGGCTGGGCTCAGCTTCAGCCCCCGGTGACTTCGAACAGGAAAAAGCAGATAGATTATGGATGGATGTTTCATTTTGTCACCTTACAGTATCTCAAACTTTAACATGTCTGATGCCTAGTCCTGTTCTGTGCATTTTGGATTTTCATACACACGTGTGTGGAAGCGTTCCAGGAACACCGTCCTCATGTGGAAAACGTCTGCCTACGAGTGAACTAGGCCTAAAGGTCCTGTTAAGGTTTTTGTTTGGCAGTTAATTGGTGTAAAGTTGACTTTATAATTACTACTCAATAGTTGTAGGTACATTTATTTATTGAATTTTTTTTTGATTTATTTTTAGGATTTTTGTGCCTTTATATGAGAGAGAGGTCAGAGGATAGAGAGAGAGAGGAATGACATGCAGGAAAGGAGCCACAGGTCAGATTTGAACCTGTGCTGCCCACTTGGAGGACCATAGCCTCCATGCATGGGGCCACCAGTGCCCTCATACATTGTATTTTTAATTTGATTTAATTCCTTTCTTTTCTCATTTTATTTACACTCTATGCCACTCTCTTCTCGTCTTTTTGAATTTCCCCACTTGGGATGAATAAAGAATGATCTAATCTTATCCTGAATAAGATTTTTATCCAGACCTGTCAGGTGAATCTGACTTGTGAATCGAAAGGTTGGAGTTTTGAAAGTGTAGTCTCTTTCAGTTCATTTTGAATTACAGGCTTATTTTGAAGACATTATAGGGAAGTCTGTTTCTGTCCTTTTAATTGTCAATCCTCCCTTACGTGTGTTTAGTTTTAATAAAGCTCATGATGATGTCATACCAACTTAAACCTGACAAGGTGCAACAGAGAATGATTGTTGAAGTACGTTCAAACACAAGCTCAAGTCAAAACCCCTCTGATCTTTAGATCCAACCACCTTAGAAAACATGTTTCATTATTAACCTCCATGTTTGTAACACTTATTAGAGGTGAATATGAGAGGATGTATAAATGTCATAACTTTAGACGTTGACCTTGCAATATTCCTTTTCACTGTGATAACTTTGTTTTGTGGCTTTATGTTTCCTGCATGTCAAATAAAAAATCTATAACGTATATTTTGAGTGTTTAAGATATTTAAGTTATCGACCTGTACAATATGTCCATATTCTTTATATTATCTGTAATCTAGTATAGCATGCTCACTGCACCTTAATCTGTATATTATAATCCTAAGAATACACTTATATTTAAAGCATTTATTTATATTTATTGCATCCCATTAATCCAGCCATCCATATATACCTAATAATTCACTTTTTTTAGTCTACATCTGTAAATTCTGTAATTACTGTACATAGCACAGACTCTTGCACTTTCTGCTTATTTGCACTTCTGGTGAGATGCCAAACCTCATTTCGTTACTCTATACTTGTATATGTGTAATGACAATAAAGTTGAATCTCATCTCATCTCATCTCATATATGAAAGCACACAACCTTTTTCGACTGAGAGAAGCATTTGCAGTTACACCACTTGGCCACAAGATGGCTCTGTTGACCAGCAGTATAGTAACTGTGTATTTCCATTATAGTGACACTAACATATTGTGTTCTCTCTGTAGGACACCAGAAAGAACAGCTACCAAGTCAGGAGTTTCTACCTCCATCACCAAAGTAGAGTCGTAGAGAAGTGGAAGATTATTACAGTCTGATTTATCAATAACAACTCTGAGCTGTTCCAAAAGTTTACCCCGACAACTCTGCTTCAGGAGTAAGACATTTCTCGCTCAGGTGGATGTGATACCTGACAGGAGGAACAGGACAGGGACACCCTCGTCTCCAGCTCCCTCAGGATCTCCTCCTTCAGCGAGTTCAGCTTCCCTCCGCTCAGTCCTCCTCCCGACGCGCCTCCGTCCAGGTCGTTCCCTTTCCCGTTCACCAGGTGGTTGTTGATGCTGACCAGCGTTTTATCATGAGCCTATTGGAACAGAGACAAGTCACTTTTATTCCCATTTAGACCGGACATAAAGACCAACTTGTGGAGAGCTGTTTTAAAGAGCCCATATTATGCCCTTTTTGGGGTTCATATATTTAATCTATGTACCTACTAAAGTATGTTCACAATAGCTTAAAGTTCTTAAAAAGTGTCTGTTTTCATACTGCTGCTCCATGCATCGGCTCACTTCTGACTCTCTCTCTCTAAGGCTCTGAAGTGCCCACGTTCAGAGTCCCCACGTGTACCAAGTCTAATCTGATTGGTCGGCCTGTCGGCTCTGCCGTAATTGGTCAGTCGCTCAGTCTTTTCCGCAGCAAGTCCGAGTGAGCTGATGTGAGAACGCAGCAGGATATTTTCAGGAGAATTCACCTCGAGCCAATATGAGGGGGGAGTGACATTTATTTCCTGTGACTGCTGCACGGTGCAAAGAGTGTCTGCACGCAGCCGCTACGATCTCTTTGCATGTAATTAAACTGCTGCATTATGTTGTCTGTTCTCCTCCCGCTGTGAGGAGCACGTGTGAACAGCCAGGTCAGGAGAATGTCTGGATATATTCAGGAGTACAGATGTGAAAACGGCTAATGTGACAGTATCTAACCTGTGTGCGGTTGTCCAGCTGGTCCAGTTTGTTCTGAATGCTGTTAATTGTCTCTTTAATCTCTGGCTGAGCAGCATCAGCGGGGTTTCTTCCTCCTGAAGAGCCAGCTCCTCCCACTTCTCCTCCCGATCCTCCTCCTCCGCCACCGCGTCCTGGCTTGTTGACCTCTCGTTGGAAGTTCTCGTTCATGGTGGTCATGGTGGTCTGAAGGTCGTGGAGGTTCTTGGTCAGGTGCGTGATCTTCTCCTCCAGCTGCCTCACCCTCTCATTCTCTGCTCGGCCTGGAAATAATAAAACGCAGCAACTTTAGAGATTCAATCAGAGAAGCTTTTCCAAACACGAGAGCAAAGGCAGAGGTATACAACTGATAAAAGAATAAAAGCAATTCATGCTTTTAACCAGCAGGGGTCAGCACCGCTCACAGATTACCTCATGTTGTATCCTACACACAGGGTGCATCCCAAATCCCTCCTATCACTCCTCACTGAGAAGTTGTTCTTGTCTGCGTAGTCTGCACAGATATCCCTCTGGCTCTAATGTATGCCCCAAGAAGCCATGATTTATTTTGAGATTAAAGATGTTGCACTAGAAATGTTCCTTTCTGCTAAAAAATCGAGCATTTTAATATTGAACCTAATGGGGATTCCTTGGCCTTTGCATCCTGCCTCTAGTGGACACTCGAGGGATTGCAGGGACTGAGGTTGCTGCTATTTCTCGTACAGTAAAATGACAGAGGACATAGAGGAAATTAGCTTGACGACACAGATTTTCACAGATCCTCTCTGAGGATTTATGTTCAAAATGGTCAAATGATTGTACATAAAGAGATCCTGCTCACCACTGTGTCCAGATCCAGAGCTGCCGCTTCCATATGCTCCTCCCCCCTGTCCTCCTCCTCCTCCTCCTCCTCCTCCATATCCTCCTCCTCCCTGTCCTCCTCCCCCTTGTCCTCCTCCTCCCTGTCCTCCTCCTCCATATCCTCCTCTTCCATGTCCTCCTCCCTGTCCTCCTCCTGCTCCTCCCTGTCCTCCTCCTCCTCCTCCCTGCCCTCCAGCTCCTCCCTGTCCCGGCCTGGGCTGAGGTCTAGTGGTTGATATCTGGGTTCCCGCTCCTCCGACTGGACTGTCATTACAGTCCTCTCCACTGTAGCCATGGCAACACTTCCACTCCATATCCGTCACCATTTTGTAGGCCACTTTGTAGCGCGGCTTCATGTACGTCCGATAGCTGCAGAGACATGAGAGACGAAGATATGTTTGATTTAAATAACCAAGACAAGAGTTTAAAAAAAATAGGAAATCTGAAGAGTTTGAACTAAGGATGTAACCATAATCTCTGAGTATGATACGATACAATTCACCACGCCAGGTTTAACATTCAATGTTTTCTCAATCCGATTAGGGGAATGAGTTAACGGTTAAATTCTTAATTAAAGGAGCAATATATAACTTTGACACCTAGTGTTTCAAATGGGTACTGCAGTCCAAATTCTAAACATTGTAGAGAGCTGTCTCCCCCCGCCCCCTCCTCTCTAGAGTCGATGCTCACGCAGGTCACCATGTGGTGGACACTAAAGCTTCAGTGTTTAGCCAGCTCTGCATCGGTCTGTAAACCTTTCTGTGTTCTAACCTCTCTCCATTTTTCAAAAGCATCTCCAATATTGATCCTAGTTTGAGCACGTTTCTGCTCGTGGAGCTTATTAGAAACATGCAGAGGCTTTTTAGGTCGGGTACAATCACTTCTATCTGAACCACTTCTCTTGCCCGCTTCCATCGCTGCAACACCTGTTGACCTGATAACTGCTCTCATATCTGGCAAACCGAGGGGAGTCCAAAACGGCCGTGTGGGGGGGGAGCCTTAAAACCGTCTACTTTCTCTGGTCCAAACAAATCCAGAGCATTCAGGACCAGAATCTAAAGTTAGAAGGAGGACATACTGGCTGCTGCATTGTTGTCAGAGAAGCCAGCACTTCAACATGTTTCCTTAATGTCTGATCATATAGTAAGCTCACTTTATAATATCAGCCACTACACATCTCACTGATTGGACCTTTAAATAATCGTTTTTCATTTACAGGTTTCCATAGCAATGTGTATGTGATAACTTAAACTTGTTGTTGTTATTTTGGTAAAAATGGAAAGAAACTACGATTCATTTCAACCAGTGATCTCAACCATCAGTAACTAAACTAAAGTATCAGACACCGACCTAAGCCATGACAGGTTAGATCAATATCTGTGTGTGTGTGTGTGTGTGTGTGTGTTTGTTTTTGTGTGTGTACTCACACCACCACCCTGCTGCACTGTCCGCTCCCCCAGTTGCAGGGATGATAGTCAGGCTTCACGTACGTTTCCACTCCGTCCTCGACCACACAGCTCACCGTCTTTGTCACCACGAACGCACACCAATTCCTGTTTGATACAAAAACACACACACACACAGATGTTAATTCAGGAGTTACCTGCAGGCAGCATTAACACATTTGAACCCAATCAGACAGGTGAGGATGTTAAAGGATATACAGGTGTGAAAGAAGACAAACAGAAACAACTGATAAGGTGTAGATTGTGATTTAAACTTGAAAGCTTTGAGGGAACATGATCTGCACCAATGATTGAATAAAAACATTTACCACATGACAGTTATGGAGCTCCCCCTGCTGACTGGCTGCAGTATAGCTAATTAAGCCGCCTCCTCCTTGTCAAATCAATTTGATAAAGGTCTGAAATCAATGCATACATTTTTTTTTTTTTTGGTATTGATCGTGTGCTATTTTCTCATGTTTTGTCAAGCTGGACTGACTACAACGACCTGGACACGAAGTCAGACAAGGAAATGCACAGAGTGTCCAGTTATTTTCAAAATAAAACACAATATACGGACTCACGATCGTATTTTCCTTCACTTTATATCAACATGACGTCAAAAACCGACACAGAATGAAGAACAAATCATCATCAGAAAGACAAAGCAACATGCTTGCATGTTTAACTCTGATTTTGTAGTTCTCATGTGATGTGTGTACAGCTGCGCTCACCAGAAATGAATCCAGGGGCAGCAGGACGGAACAAAACCTTGGCTCTGGAAATTAGGTGTAAGACGTCTCAGATAACCAATAAATAGTAATATCCACCTCTTGAACTCAAACATTTAACTTTTTTATCCGTCCTCTAAAACCGTTTGCATTCACTTTTTGATCCGAAGATTCTTAATGTTGTAACCTTGACTTCAGTTTACCGCTAGTCCCCCCTTCAAAATAAAAGCAGGGTTGTATCCGAACAGGAAGTAAAATACCACGAGCTTAAAACAGTACAAAAATACAAAATAAACAACAATTGGAGTGGGTGCGGTTTATAATCTATACACATCCAGCCAGCAGGGGGAGCTATTAAAGTGTTGGCTTCACTCTTAGGCGGCTGTTGCTCCGTCCATCTTAATATACAGTCTATGACACTGACCTGAACTACAAAGCCTACATACTCATATTTAACTAAAGAGGTCTCACTCTGTCTAATTTATTCATGACTTTTCTTAACAATCAACTTAAGGAGGTCTGACTCTGTCTAATTTATTCATGACCTTTCTTAACAATCATATACAGCATAAGGGAGGTCTCACTCTGTTCCTTTCTTGTTATAAACACTGATGACAGAGTGTCTCGCTCCGCCTGTTATCAACATGACTTATTACAATCACTCAGCGACACTGAGGGTTAAAAAAAACCTTTCTTAAGGATATTTTCGTTAAACAAAAAACATCTGTTTGGGTCAAATGAGGTCAGGACTGAGCATGTGCAGATGTTCTGGAGTAGTGTCTCTTTTTTCCACACAGCTCATCTCTAAGTGTTTATTTAAATGTTTCTCACATTTAAGGGTGTCGAAATGTTCAATACTTTACCACATGTATTAAAACAATACATTATTTGTTATTTTAATGATGAATAGTACTGAAACTAACTTCTATTTCAGAAGACAGGTGCGTAGGATTCAGATTCAGATTCTTTACTGTTCCACGAGGGGAAGTTTGTTTCGCAGCAGGAGCACACAGAAGACAACAAAAACACAAGGACAATATCACCGCAAAATCTAAATTATGACAAAGTTAAGAAATCAGACAACACAAGAAAATAGAAAACATTGAATACCAAATCAGTCAAGAGCTCAAACCAAAATGGGAATTCCAAGTCAGTAAAGTGCAAAGTGGAGGTGTGCAAATGTCCTCACAGAAGCTCTAAAACGACGACCTGAGGGTCAAAGGTCAAACTCACTCTGAAGTGGGTGATTTGAGTAGACCAGTATAGCCTTAGCTCTCCTCAGGCCCTGCTGGTCATAAATGGTCAGAAGCCCAGCCTGACCACCTCCCTGATATTCTGCTGCTTGTTGTGACAAGCTTCCTAACTGTGTTCTTATTGGTTAAGCTTCCAAACCATGCAGCGATACAAAAATGTAAAACAGATTCAATTAAATGTTTATAAAAGAGAGTCATCATCTCAGAAGGAACATTCAAATATAATAATCTTTGCTGAACCTTTTTAGAGGTAGTGTCGTCATGAAGTTGAAAACACAATCTAACACCTAGATATTTGTCGCTCTCCACAATCTCGATATCAGCTGATTTAATAACAGTTGGTATTTGACTTGGAGGGGACTTTCTGAAATCACTGATTTAGAAGAGGATTGAATTCATCAAAAGTTGCATTCAAACATTTTGAGTAATGAAAGGTTGCCAAAGTATTTGTGGAATTTAGCCAGTGTGCAGAGGTTTGCCTGAAATGTCTGGTATATAAAAACAAAGAAAATGACCCAATACTGGGGACCTGGGACTTATATAGTTGTTGCCTTAGTAACAAAACAGGCACCAATAGTATCTGTTTTTTTATCAGAAGTTTAAAAGTGATCTGGTATAGTGACACCCTTACTCCCACAGATAGTTAAAGGCACGGTTGGTAATTTTCAAAAACTAGCATGATTTTGAAAGTAGCATTCCCTCAGTGCTCCGTCTGCACCCACCCCCCTCCCCTCTGTGCGCCCTCTAAAGCCACGCCCCCTCACTTACATGCACAAGCGCCGTTGTTCCAAAAGCGGACCTCAGCTCATTGCTTTGAGTGTGGGCTCGTGCATGCAAGGGGTAGAGAGCGAGCAGGGAGACAGAGAGGCGCCTGATTGGTTCATCAGATTGGTACCTCGTGGCAGACACTGGTTGAAGTTTTTACAGGCTTACAACTGATACAGATGACGGTTTTTCTTCATTCCTTTTTCAGAGAACATGAGTTATTAATTTCAGTCAGGACCTAAAGACAATTTCAACCAAAATCTTAAAAAGTGTATCTGGAGAAAATGACAAACCCTACCTACTAAAAAACAAGCCCAAGTTACCAGAGGACACTTGCAGTGAATTAATGCAAAAATAAGATTTTCATTTCAGACAAATCTTTGACATTTTCTCCTTACAACAATGCTTAAACAATCAGTCACAGAGGTCGGTCCACTAAACCATAATGTTCGAGTTCTTTAGAGCTGTTCAAGGGCAACAATTGTTCTCTGACATTTTTGAGGGTTTTGACTCGCTTTGACATTCAAATGCTGAACTAAAGTTCAAATAAAGAGCACATGAAAAGAGCAAAAGAGCCCGAGGCACAGCGGCTGCATTTTCTGCTTTAACAACTCTTTATTACGGTTATTAATTCAGTGTATAAATGAAAACATTGTGCAGATCATCTGACACTTTCTCACACACACAGAGACCGATTAAACACAGCCGTACACATTAAGTGTTTGTGTGTGCGTGTGTGTGTGTGTCATACTGTGACTGAAATCAGCGCATGGTGCTGATGTCATCGTGGTGTGATAATGAGGAGTGTGTTTCTGTGGGCCATGTTGGAGCAAACGGACTGTGTGTCTTTGTGTCTTAATTTAATTGTGATGATTTATTTTTTCCGGGCTGCAGAACAGGAAGCAGGACTTTACATTTCTGCAGCTTGAGAAACAAACTGATGTCAAACGTCCAGATAACGAGGCTGCTTTTACTTCAAAGAAAGGGGAAAAAAAGACCTCAGAACAAACACAAGTCCATACAGACGAGTTAAATCTACGTTTTCTACAGTAAGAGGTTTAAAAACTTATTTTATATCAGTGATTTCTACTACAATATCCTGTATGCCCTGGTGATGAACCAAGCGGCAACCTCCGGTCTTCAAAAATGAAGTCAATGCTGGAGTGCAGAATCCTGCAGTTCCTCGAGTGTCCACTAGAGGCTGGCTGCAAAAGCACCAGAGGTCACATACACACCCATTCTAAAAAGCAGTTTTTACAACAGAAATTAACACGTTTACAGCCTGGTTCAAAAAAACAAATAGGACCGATTAGTTGTTGTCCTCATGGGCACACACTGCATGGTGGGGCAGTGGTTAGCAATGTTGCCTCATAGCGAGGAGGTTCCTGGTTTGAATCCCTGTCTGACAGGAGCCTCTCTGTGTGGAGTTTACATGTTCTCCCCGTTCATGTGTGGGTTCTCCCCGGGTACTCCGGCTTCGCCCACAGTCCAAAGACATGCTCATTAGGTTAACTGGTGACTCTAAATTGCCCATAGGTGTGAATGTGACTGTGGCTGGTTTCTATATGTCAGCTCTGTGATTGGCTGGTGAACAGTCCAGGTTGTAACCCGCCTCTCGACCAATGACAGCTGGGATCGACTCCAGCCCCCCTGTGACTCTGATAATGGTATAGATATAGAGAGTGGATGGATGGTTACTATTTACTGCTGAAGTTCTATCACAAGTAGAGTGAGTCAGTTTCTATTTTGCATGCTGGGCCTGTTGTTTATAAAGCAGTCTGCATTCTGTCTTCTCGTGCATGCTCGCTCATATTTTCCTGCAGACATCAGCTGTTCATATTTATCCAATAGCAGCGTAACATTCCCTCATTGTCAGCCTATAAAACTGCTGCTGTGTCTTTAAATACTCTTTCTCTGTTTCCAGAGACACCTCCCATCTGTGCCAAGTCTTTGATGTTTCATCACCATCATTATTTCATCCGCCTTGGCAGCGGCCGTCCACCGACACCTCCACCACCCGCGTCTGGACTCCACGTGGGGATAAATCCTTGCTGCTCACAGCAGACGCCCTTCCATTACAACATCTCCCTGTGGACTCTTACCGCTAAAACGTTCTGACAATAATTAAATACCTCATCGTCTGTTCAAATAAATAATCATCTTCACTTTATTTACTCATCTCTCGTGATTTAAATCATTTTCTAACGTTGTTTCTTTTGTCAAAGTCTGTACAAATAAACTGTTAATGTCAGTGAAGTGTTTGGATTTAAAGATGAACGATCTGATGAAAAGAAAACATACATTTACAAAGCTGGTATGGAAGCATGAAGAGGACAATCATCAATACATTTATTTAGTT